AAAAAGAATATCATAAACTGTCGCGTTCCCGATGCCGCAGACACGTGGTGTTGTGCACCGGAGTTCGCCAGTATAACCACAGTGTTGAACTTTAGACAAGCAGCAGCATCAAACTCTTTATTCACTTAAGCTGGCAGTCTTTGTACAGCACAGGCGGTAAAAACTATAGAACGGATACATGAAGGTTCGATATAAGGAAAACCGAAAGACTACGAAACTAGAAATGATAAAAATGAGGAATATTACAAGCGTAACTTACATCGGATCTTGACTCCGGGGTAGAGAACTCCTAAACTTCGTTCGGCTCCGAAATGCTTTCGTTACAGTGACTCCTCGCAACTGAGCTACTTGCTAATAGAAGGCGAATAGGATCTCTATCCCCGGCCGTTATTAACAAGGTACTCTAGATAACAAGCTAACAGACAAAGGTTTGTTTCCACTAAAACAGCCAATAAGCTTGCAGGAGCTTGTGAGAGGCGTGAAATATAAGCTCATTAATTGACCCATGTCAGTTAAATGAAAGGCTGCAACTGCTCTGAGAGAAGCATTTTGTTACTCGAATGCAGGCAGACAACATGGCACAAACGAAATTCGCTGAACGAAATGTCAGGAGCGCTTTTGCTGAATTTCTGAGAACGATACAAAGAAACAACAACGAAGAGACAGATGAATTCTTGTCAAGTGTCACTGAAACGGCGGGAACTCAGGAGGAAGAGAGAGAGGCCGATTCACAGCAAGATCTTTCAGCGAAACTCGAAGACGCTCTCCGGAAGAGTGATGTCAATGCGATCTACCGACTCATAGCTAATGCAAAGGCAAGCGAAACCACGACAACAGCGAAAGATACGGAAAAAATCAAGACACTTGCTTCCTTACAGGTTGCGGAAAGGGTGAAAATGAAAGAAGATGCGGGACTTTGTACAATCCTAGGCGACTCATTGAGCTGGATTAATCCCTTTCACAACAGCGATAACGGACAAGAGAAGAGCACGGGAGGCGAAAATGTCCGTGAAAAGGCTTGGATCAACATTCTGACCAACCCGTTATACATTAGTCTCGAATGGCTATGCAAATCATCGGCTTAGAATAAAACGGAGCCCACCGATCTCATTGAAGCTGCCCTAGGAAATGCTTGCCTTTTGGAAAAAATTTCCTCAAACGAACGTCACTTCGACGGAGTTGAGTGTAGGGAGAGAGCAAAGGAATGTGAGAAATTTGCCACTGACATCGTAGAGCAGATAAACGCCGCTGATTCAGGAAACCTGTACAAGATTATGGACATTAAGGGAGATGGCCCGTTGCTGAAAGGAAATCACGAAAATTTCATTGGGAGTCTTAGTCTTNAACATGGAGCGGTGGAAGTCTTTGTTCCTGAGAGAGTAAACTATAGGATTGATAACGCCATTACTACAGGTCAACCACACACTGACAACCCCAAGTTGTTCTACAACACATGATTCACTACCGACAGCATAGAATATTTCTAAAATTAAAATTGGCATCCATACAAAAACTAGAAACATAAACACAAAGGCAACAGTTTTTGCCATTTTGACTTCAAGTCTAGTTTCTGCGACAGTATCAGAACCAGTAGCAGTTCCCGGATGTATCTGACCGCGTGACAGGAGTTGTTTTCGTTTCTGTACTGCCTTCTTGTAGATTTTGTAGTAAAGTGCACTGATCAAAAGCAGTGGAAGAACTATGTGCACGGCCAGAAACGCGTAGTAAAATTTGAAATTGACATTCCATTCATATGTTTCTCCCGTAATTGGCTCGAAGGCGAAAACACTCATTAATACCACGATAGTTACAACGTAGATCCAGACTTATCCAACGATTACAAATGTTCTCCGCCATGACACAATATCTTTGTATCGAACCACAGACATCACTGCTCTGTAGCGGTCTACCGTGATAATCAGCAGAGTGATGGAAGAACCTGCAATTGAGAATAACCATACAGAGTTCAAAACATTCGTTCCACTTGAGCCAAGTGGCCACTCTGGGTACGACCATGTATATGCCATCTCCAGTGGTATCAATCCGATTGAGATACATATGTCTGTCACCGCCAAACTCAGTAGGTAGCCATTTGAAGGTCGTCGTAGTTTCTTGTCGATGCTGATGACGATGGTAACTAAAATATTCTCGGATACAGACAGAAAAAATGTGGCGACAAACAGAATGGTTATAGGAATTCGAAAACTCAAATCGAATATGCACGCTTCTGTATCGGCAGCTTCGTTCGTCGAGCCATTCATCGTCCGCGTCGAGTTTTGTTCCGCAAGGGCAGCAGGAAAGGTAACACTAAGTTAAGATTCTGGCCCGCAACAGTGGTCGCGAATATGAAAGAACCACCGTTAGTTGTCGTGAATTTAAGAGAGGCTCAGATTTGTTATAGATTTTAAGGGCAAGATCGTTTCGCTTTCCATAGCTCATACGAAGTGCCGATTGACTTCCGCTTTTTCTTAGGAATATATTAATGGAACTCTTTCCGCTTCAGAGGTAATATCCATCTTTTGATGAAACATGTCTCAGCACGGTTGGTAGAAGGTTTTCTTTAGATGGCAGGTCACACATAGCACGCATAGAAACTGTCTTCGAAGGGAATATTTCTTTCAGTCTATAAAGAATAAACTCCCTCAGAATGTGACATTTCAGTTAAAGAGCGAGCAGAAGATCGTGACTTCTACTCCGGCGTGACAGGAGTTTGTGCATGGCAAACAATTTTGTGATATGCGGGTACATTTATTTATTGCTTTATTATACGAAATTTGTAACGAAACTAAAATTGCACATGGATGGCTAACTCAATAATGCTGTAAATATTTCCCCAATTTGACAGAAAAAGTGATATTAAGAAAATTTGAACGACCAGGAGAACCGCTATATTCGCTAGTCACGGAACAGAAATCAAACAAAGCGCGCTAACAAATTAAATAGAAAGTCATTGACAGTTTCTTAGTGTCTTTGTGCTAAAAACGGAAGAGTTACATAAGTAAAAAAGATTAGAGTTTGTATCCGTAAACGTGACACTCCTCGCCCAAGGATCGTCTATGATCCTTGCTCTATTAATTGTTTGTCCTTTAATTCTCTGCCGTGGTCGAAGGGTCTGTCACTGGGCCTCTACTGGAACCAGCAGGATGAGCTCTTTGATGGGGCGTAGGAACACTTTTCCTCTACCCTCTCTCACAATCCTAAGTGACACTTTTCTTACTTTGCCATCTGCGCTCCTGATGGCCTCCGTAACTCGACCCATAGGCCAGTCACTGCGATTCTGGCCGTCTTCCTTCATAAGGACGACGTCACCTGGGGCCAGGTCTCTGCGGGCGTCGTACCACTTTCTTCTTGGCTGGAGGTTCTGGAGGTACTCTCGGCGCCACCGTAACCAGAACTGATCTGCTAGGTACTGGACCCTCCTCCAACGCCGGTTCGCNCATTGTGAAAGAAACCTGTGCACTACTTGATATTAAAGTCCCAAATAAAGCAAGATCCTTACCTTTCTTTTCTTCCTCTTCAGTTTTTCAAATTCAGCCTCCAAGCTGCAAATTCGTTTATTAAGAGACATTAGCAGAGGCTGACAACCTGAGCATGCAGTAGGTAGACTGCTGAATGATGTCTCCCCTTGTTGCACAACATCTCTGTTTACATGTATGTGGTCATCCATTTCCAGTTGATAGCTGGGATTCATTGTTTGATCTAAATCTGACACATCAAAGTCTGAGCATTGATGTAAGCTCTTAAAGAATGAGAACTCCAGCTGTGGTGTAGCTTGTTCAAAATGGGGTGATCCAGATGATCTTGACACTGTACATGTAAGTGTATGTTGTTGCTGGTGGGGTGAACTGTGTGTGCCAGATGTATCTGTGGCTTCTTGTGCTGTGATGTATCTTTTATTTGTGGACTGTAGTGGAGAGGGGAAGCTGTTTGTGACATTTAAAGCACGACGGATAGACCAGTTGGTGCCACCTGAAGTCTGATATGAAGGAGGAAGGATGTTGATTACACTTGAAGATTGGTGGTGTCGAGGTGTCTCCAAGTTGCCATTCAAAGACTGTTGGAGAGGAGGTGAGCTGCTAGGTACACCTGAAGGCTGCTGGCTTTGTGGTGTATTGGCAACTGACGATTGATGGACAGGAGGCAAACTGTTGGTTACACATGAAGGCTGTCTGTGTTGTGGTGTAAGGAAGTTAGTTTCACCTGGCTGGGGCTGGTACTGGGGTGAACCAATACTCCCACCTAAAGACTGCTGAGGAGAAGGCAGGCTATACATTACATCTGAAGACTGCTGGTGTCGAGCGGAGTTAAAGTGCCCAGCTGGAGATTGATGTAAAGGGAGTGAAGTACATGGAGGCACAGATTCTTTTCCCCGTGTGAGATCAGATGTCTTCTCTACTGTCTGAGCTTCAATTGTTTCAGACCCATCAGGATTTTCATCCTCACTAACAGTGATTTGCTGCCTTCGCAAAAGCAGATTCTGGACTCTTTTAGCTTTAGCCACTGTTACTATTTCCTGGTCATTTGTTTCTTGTTCTCCTTTCCTCTTACTCTTCTGTTTCTTGAACACCAACTGCTTTTGCCCAGAAACATGAATGTCACCGTCATTTAAATTTCCTGCTATTTTTCTTGAATTCTTGTGTTTATGTTTTTGGGAAGCCATTTTCTCATTTACTGGGGCAGTTCCATCCTTATCTTCTACCACAGCTTTCCTCTTCATATGTTTCTGTTTTTGAAATGCATTAGACTCCTGGTTTTTTTGTGTAATATTTTCAACAGAATTCTCCAATGCTGCAAGCTTCCTTTTGGATGGCTTAGGTTCTCGACGAGGCCGAGGTCCATCCAAGGTTGTGACTGGCTCTTCGATTTCTTGAGGGGTTACCAGCTCATTGACCTTGTTTTCAGCTTCCTTCTTAGTGTCTATATGAAAACATGAAATCACT